CACTCTTGTGGGACACTCTTTTCGGAAACTCTTGTGGGACACTCTTGTAGGACACTCTTGTGGGACACTCTTGTGGGACACTCTTGTGGGACACTCTTGTGGGATACTCTTGTGGGACACGGTTGCGGGACACTCTTGTGGGACACTCATACGGGACACTCTTGTGGGATACTCTTGTAGGACACTCTTGTGGGACACTCTTGTCGGACACTCTTGTAGGACACTCTTGTAGGACACTCTTGTGGGACACTCTTGTGGGACACTCTTGTGGGAAACTCTTGTAGGACACTCTTGTGGAACACTCTTGTGGGACACTCTTGTAGGACACTCTTGTGGGACACTCTTGTAGGACACTCTTGTGGGAAACTCTTGTGAGACACTCTTGTGGGACACTCTTGTGGGACACTCTTGTAGGAAACTCTTGTGGGACACTCTTGTAGGAAACTCTTGTGGGACACTCTTGTAGGACACTCTTGCGGGACACTCTTGTGAGACACTCTTGTGGGACACTCTTGTGGGTCACTTGCAGGACACTGTTGTGGGACACTCTTGTGGGACACTCTTGTGGGACAACACTCTTGTGGGACACTCTTGCAGGACACTCTTGTAGGACACTCTTGTGGGTCACTCTTGTAGGAAACTCTTGTGGGACACTTTTGTAGGACACTCTTGCGGGACACTCATACGGGACACTCTTGTGGGACACTCATACGGGACACTCTTGTGGGACACTCAACGAGCGTTTCGTACGAGACTCCCTCCAAAAGTCACACGTCAAGCCTCCAAAACGAGCGTTTCGTACGAGACTTCCTCAAAAAGTCACACGTCAAGTCTCCAAAACGAGAGTTTCGTACGAGACATCCTCAAAACTTCCCACGTCAAAGTCTGCCAAACGAGCGTTTCGTACGAGACATCCTCCAAAAGTCAAGCGGAAACACCCATCGGAGCACACACGTCAAGCAGCCTTGCCAAGCAGTTTCGCGATTCCAGCCCCTCCAAACAACACCCGCTCACACGCCAATCCCAATGGGACAGCGACATTCACCTCTACAAAGGCACGCTTCGAGGCTGCAAGACGAGCGTTTTGTACGAGACTTCCTTCAAAAGTCACGCGTCAAGTCTCCAAAACGAGCGTTTCGTACGAGACTTCCTCCAAAAGTCACACGTCAAGTCTCCAAAACGAGCGTTTCGTACGAGACATCCTCAAAAAGTCACACGTCAAGTCTCCAAAACGAGCGTTTCGCACGAGACATCCTCAAAAACTCACTCGTCAAAGTCTGCCAAACGAGCGTTTCGTACGAGACTTCCTCCAAAAGTCAAGCGGAAACACCCATCGGAGCACACACGTCACGCAGCCCTGCCAAGCAGTTTCGCGATTCCAGCCCCTCCAAACAACATCCGCTCACACGCCAATCCCAATGTGACGGCGACATTCACCATTCACCTCTACCACAACTCGCAACCTCACGCTTCCCTGCGCCTGCCACGAATCTTTCCCCATCCACACGTCTAATGCGCACAAAGTACTGCGCCTGCCACGAAATGTCACCTCCCTCACACCTCGCAACCTCACGATTCCCTGCGCCTGCCACGAGAATCGCACTTCCACGCCTCAAAACCCGCACAAAGTACTGCGCCTGCCACGAAAAGTGACGATATCATCTCATGTGAGCTTCAACAAAATTTGCACCAAACCACACGTTTGGAATGATTTCGACCCGTTCTGAGCACACTCCCATCCACCAAAATCGCCATTTCAGCTGAGACTTGTCACGAAAACCGAGCTTCGATGCAACACCCTGAAACGCAAATCCCAATGGCACGGCCACATCCAACACCCCAAAAACCGCTAATCCCAATGGAACTGCGCAGCAATCTGCGGATCTCATAAAACGCTGCGCCTGTGCAGCGAAATGCATCACGTTTCTTGCGTGACATGTCGGTGTCGTGCAAATCACAATGGAATCGCGGCGCAAACTGACACGTGACACATCCATGAAAAGTCACTTGCAAAAGCTTCCCCCAATGGCAGCAAATTTGAGACGCGACGACGACGACAAACGACGACAAACGACGAGAGACGACGAGAGACGACGAGAGACGACGGGAGACGACGCGAGACGACGACAGACGACGACAGACGACGACAGACGACCGCAGACGACGAGACGACGACAGACGACGAGACGACGCACGCCACGCAAACATTGCTCCAACCCCCAGACCCCCAACTATAAACGGGAACCCTTCGCTACGCATTCGGGAAAAAACAAGATTCGGTTTGAACATCAAACAAAAAGAGGCATGAGAGACAAAGGGAGGCAACGCAGAATCATCTCAGCCCAGCACCCAAGAAAAGCCATGAATACAAAGGGAGGCAAAGGGAAGCGAAGGCCTCTTGGCCCAGGATTGCTTCTATGCAAGAATTGAGAACCCCTCACAGCAAAGCTACTTGGGAAACAAAAGAACAAAACAGCGAAAGGAGGTTCATATCTAGCTCAAAAAGCAACTCGTTTGTTGGCCCCCCAAGTGCTTAAAACTACGTATCAAACATTACTATGGCACCCCAGGCCTAGATATAAGTCACCTGGCTGCAGCCACATGATCTTATTTGTGATGATTTATATGTACAAACCCCTCTCCTCCAGGCGATCGACCAAGGAGTCTGACGAGCAAATCTCCCCTTCGTAGCCCAAGAGGAAGTAGCCGAGCTCGATCTTCCGAACCTGACGGCGAATCTCACGCTCATAGCCAGGATTTCTCCCACGGACGGTAATCTGCGTCAGCTGCTGCAAGTCCATGCGAAAGGTCCCAAAGGGTGGAATTTCAAGTTCGATGCTTCCTTCTCGGCGTTGGTAAGCTGCTTCCATTTGCGCCTGGCATTGCTCCGCAAAGTCCCGCCAGGTGCCCGCATCGTCCCATTGCCAACGCGCTAACTCTGCCATGATGGGACGTTTGCACGCCTCTCAAGACAGAGAGAGCACCTGCGCTGACACCTCGCTTCCTGCTGGAGATAGAAACTCATGAGCCAAGACAGCTTCAGCAACTTTTGGCAGTCCTGAGTTCTAGAAAGTCACCCCCTCTTCAGTATCTGAAAATTGAGGCAGTACCTTCAGTATCTACATCATGTTGCAACTTCCATCGATTTTCGCTGTTCCAATGCCAATCGATTGCATATTCGCCCACATCTCTGGGCCAAGTCTTGCAGCCTGCTGCACCTGCTTTGTAACCGTGACGAAGTGCGGAACTGAGCTGCCCCACTTGGCGATCTGAGCTGTAAGATCTGAAATCTCATCCTCAGAATCCAAGCAAAGTAAGACTTAAAAAAACACCAATAACTACTTTGTGATCTTTGGAGTCTTGGAATCTTGAACCAGAATTCAGAATACAAAATATGTTCAAAAGTATCTGGGTCTTACTGAAGTCTTGGAACCTTGGCGGAGCCTTGGCGTCCATGGCTTGTTTGGCGTCCATGCAACCTGCCCTGCACTGTCCGCTCGGTCACCCGACCTGCCGCAGTTGGATGTCACCACGATTGATCATCACCACCTGCCGCAACATCCGTCCAGAACGGCGAAGGAGAAGGCTGTTCTGGGTCGTATCACTGGCAATAGGAAGACTTCCCTGGCTGGAAGGAAGACTTCAAAAAAAGAAGACCTGTATTATATACCGTATGATTGCACTACTGATAGCCGAAATCATTCTACAAAACAGGGCTAGGATGTTCCCTTACTTTCAGGCCTTGCACGTCTTTTTTGCTAGTAGGTTGGAGGCCATCGCTAGTAGGTTAGCCGCCTCCATCGGCTGCCGACGACTTTCAGACAGCTGAGAGTCCGTGAAGCCATCAGCCTCGGTGTGGCTCCATCGGGACTTGGAACGGAGAGAAGAATCTTGATTTCCCGAGGACCCACCAGGGACGTCAACATACTAGTTGGAGGTGGGTGGGTGTCTCAAAAAGAAGAGGAGACACCCGTTCGAGAACACCACTTCGACCAGTTCATCTTTTCGGAGAAGCAAAGGCTTTTCGACCAAGCTCCCGACATTCAAGACAAAGACGGAGCCATCTTTTCCAGCAGTTGCAACCTTCAGTGGAGTGCCCAGTCACAGATGTGCCATCTGAAACATGCATAGTTCCAAGGCACGGTATGCCCATCACTGGATATGCGGAGTGCAGTGATTCCGCCATCATGCAAGCCCAACGTAGTAGTCCTGGATACATGACACGAGAAAACGTCCTGGCCCAGCACAACCAACCAACCAAACAAGATTAAACATTGGTGAGTTGTTTGTGTTGCTAAAGAAATAGTTAAAATGCTGTGCAATGGTGGTAGAAGAGCTACACCGCACCGCTGCTACACACAAGAGACTTTGTGGAGACTGGATAATCCCTGCTAAATGAAAGATACACCAAAGTTTGCGGGTCGGGTTCTGGGGTCTTAGTTTGTTGAGACATAGCCATACAAAAAAAAATATATATATATGTGTATCTCAGGCCGAAAGGACTACAAACCCTGCTCTTCATCTGCAACCAAGGTCTGACTGTGACACATTACTTATTTTGCGGCTTGCAACAGGTGCACACCATGCCTCAAAACTCCAGTGACACCACAAAAGGCCAGTAGATTCCCAGCGAGGTCGCCCGCAAGGATAGACACCTCCATTATGCCAAAGTCAGAAGAAACAAAACAAAGGACGTCTGTTTGATGTATCCTGTAAACAACATATGAGCGATCGGCAAAACTAGGGGTCGTTTGGTGGGAAGTTTTAAAGCAGCTAGCGTTTTTGGGATTGGTATCGTGTTTTCAATCCATATTTTTTTGTTTTGGGGAGGTATTGTCTAAATGTAAATTGCTCTGGAAGGTGATCTTGCAAATGATGACTAGTAGTAGTAGTAGTAGTAGAAGTAGTGGAAGTAAAAGTAGAAGTAGTGGAAGTAAAAGTAGAAGTAGTGGAAGTAAGAGTAGAAGTAGTAGTCGTCGTAGTAGTAGTCGTAGTAGTAGTAGCAGTCGTAGTCGTAGTCGTAGTCGTAGTCGTAGAAGTAGTAGTAGGAGTAGTAGTAGTAGTAGTAGTGGCATGTGAGTGGGCAGGTGGTGTCTGAGGGGATACAGACCTATGAAGTGGGCATCGTTTTTGGTAGCGGTCTAAACCCATCATTGTTTCCCATCGAAGAAAGAGAAGGGAAAATTAGCAAAAACGAAATGGAATGTCGAGCTAGCATGGCAAACCATATGCACAAAATCTTGGACATACACTGTCTCGAGTGTCAACATTGTCAACAAGCAAAGATAGATTCCAAGATGTGTACCGTCACAAGGCTAGGTATCGTTTTTGGGATTGGTATCGTTTTTTCAATGAAAATGCAAATTGCTCATTTTTGTAGAAACGTGAGTGCCGACCTTTAGCACTTTGCTCATATCCAATCCACACTCGTGACTCTGATGGCCCGTCTTTTCGAGGCGAAAACCTGCTTTTGTGCGGGCTCCTATGGACAAGCTAACTGCTCCAGTGAATTTTGCGACTAACGATATAAACCTTGTTGGTACGCAAATGTGAACGCCCCACTGCTACGCACATGAATCGCCAAAAGATGACTCTGCCTCCCGGTCTGTACCACAACAAGCACCGAGTGTCCTCACTTATGGAAGGAGTGTCTTCAAGTTGGCCTTGCAAGCTACCTCTGCATCCCTGCGGCAAAACTGGCATTGCTCACCACCACAACCCCTGCGCTTCTCATCCACGCAGGCCTTCACATCCTGAGTGTCAGATGTCTCGCAAATCTGTAAATCTGTGGGGGCTGAACGGAATGCCAGTGCTGGTCGCAACGCGAAGAGATCCTGGAGGCATCCTCACGGCAAAGTTGGCATTGCACTCCCCAACATCCCTGGCATGATTTTCCATGCAAGTCTTGACATCCTCAAGCACACTGCGGGCTCTCTGCTCCATAGAAGCCTTTGCAGGGGGAGCTTGAGCTTTTCTTGCACGTCTCTGGGCTGTCAGCCCCCTGAAAGCTACTGCAGCATTTGGAGATCGTGGCCAAATCTTCGCGACACAACTGGCATTGCTCGCCGCCACATCCTTTGCACTCGGCATCGATGCAGCTTTTGACCGTCTCTTCTGCTTCTGCCTCTTGGCACATGGATGGAGGCGTCGTGGAGTGAAAGTGCTCAGTGCAACACGCATTGATCTTCGTTGCGTCTTCCATGCAAGTCTGGAACTGCTCTCCTCCGCAGCCTCGACATTTGCTTTCCACACATGACTTGGCATCTGCTTCCCAGACACACGTCAAAGCCTCTGCACCATACACGCCAGCGCAAGGAGCCGATGTGGCAGATACCTGCAGCAAACAAGGCTCCTCAAGAGAATTACCACTGCCAAAAGCAAGAAGTCTAGGCTCTACGAAACCAACTTGGAGCTAAATGGCTGCAGAAAAATACCAAGCCTTGGTCCGAAAACGCCAAAAACCATTGGCCCATATTGGCCCACCATTCTGCTCAGCCGAGTAAAACCACACCCCACCAGCCAAAACCGATGCTGCAGCCCCCCCATGAAAAAATGGTAAAAGGGGGCTTCTGGGGAGGATTTGTTGGTGTGTTGCTTGTTATGACTGTTATGATTATTTGTTGATGTTCAATGTGTTGTCCTTGCTGTTGATGTTTTATGTGTGGGGGGTTCTGGGGAAAATTTGGTGCTAAAAATCACTCTGTTCGGTGATAATGGGTGAGGTTAAGATTTGTTTAGGCTTGTTGTGTTTTATGTTTGGGGTTCTGGGTTTAAAGGATTGGTTCATAATATGTTTAGTTAAGATATTAAGAATAACCAGTGTCTCCATTGTTCATTATCTTTTCCTATTCCATCCCAATATTCAGATACAATCGCTTTGATGTTGTAGAACACTAAAACGATTGTATCTCTATCCATAGAGAAAAGGAAGCGGCAGAGTTGAAAGGAAAAGGCAAACATAAAGGAAAGGCAAAAGCCAAAGCGAACGCCTGATAAAAAAAAAAATTACCCTTCATAGGGGTAAAATTTTATTAGGTTGTTTAAGTGAAAAAGTGCTTCCAAGGGATGCGAAAGATGTACGGGACAAAACCGGCATCACAGACACCAAAAGAGAGACATCCAAAGGGCGTCCTTTTCACATCATCAGCATCACCGTTGTCATCCTGAAATACTGTGATGACGCAGAGCGCATTACAGCATTTCGGATGCCCATAAGGCACACTTTCGGCGTCGTTCATCCAAAATCTTTTGTTGTCATAACTTGTCAGTCCTACTTTGGGTTTCTTTATTGAATAGATTTCATTTGATGGTTCTTGCTCCTAATCGTGTTGAAACTTACAGCGGCTTGTGTTTATGTAGTGTGTTCTTGTAATCGTTCATATCTAAATCTTTCTTCGCGGTATTCTTTGGAACACCTTTCGCTTTCTTCTCTACCTTCTTTTCATTGAAGACTTTGAGGCAATACATTTTTGGTCTCAATGCTATAAAGTTTGTTATGACTTTTCCATCCATCTCATCCTTGAATTTACCGAGGACTTTTTTATTAGTAGGGCCATAGCACGGATGGCTCTTATCATAACCACTGAAGTCCATATACTCTTTTATTTCTTTCCTGTCTTCGTAGATGACTTCAGTAAAAGTTTGTAGAACATAACTGTCGGTGTCCGTATAGATTAGTTTGATGTTCTGCTCATACTTCGCTTTGAGGACATCATAGAAGAAGGAATACATATGAACCTTTGAAAGGTCTAATATAGACATTCCCAAGTATATAGGTTTGTTCAGTTTCAAGACTGCTTTTATCTTCTCAGCTCCTACCAGTTCTTCGTTGATGACGTGGCAGTTTTTGTAGTTCGGATTGTTGATACACTTTTGCATTCGTTCCTGTGTTGATACTAATTCAAAGTCTATGTGATTTCTAACATTTTCCATCGTTTTTCCATAGACAGCGTTGTTCATTAACTTGAACATATCTTTTTCAATATCACTCTTCGCCTCTTTCCGCTTTCCGGTGTTAAAGTCAATCCACAGTTTCAACCAACAGCGTTGTTTGAACTTCACCGCTCTATGTATCTGTTTCAGTTTCATCCCCTTGTTCAGGTAATACTGTAAAGCCTTGATATGGACTACATACTTCTCTTTGTCCATAACATTCAGTATAAGTTTTGGTCGCTTCTCGCCCTTTGCTTCCTTGCCGTTGTAGTAGGGTCGGCGTAGTGTCATCTGATGTTCTGAAAGGAACTCTGCTTTCACATTCATATTTTCAGGCGCTAATGGATAATCTGAATGTTCATCGTGTAGTTCCTTTGGATATTCTAAATCCACTTCCAGTATGTAGATATTGTCATCGTTCTCGTTCCAGTCCACTATGTTCTTTTCAGTCAGCATCTTCTTTATCCACTTGAGTTTTCCTATCGCTAGTTTCACTGACATTGCCAGTCCATACAGGTTATTAGCATCTAAATAGTTGATGAAATTTGATGCCTTTGTTTTATCATAATCTTCACCCATATACTTGTTGTTCGCCTTTGCTTCCTTATGACTGACTTGACACATACCACCCCGAAGTCCCTTCTCAATCATCTCATACATCTCTTGGTCGGTCAAGGGGTCTATTTCAACACCAGTCTTTAGTAGCTTGCGAGGCTTTCGCATCTCTAACCTTCTTGTCTCCGTCTTTAAAGTCGTTGCCACAAATGAAACATTGTTTAGCGGCTTTAAAGTCCCTCCAGTCATCTGCTCTCATAATTATCTCCTTGTTTTCCTTCATTCTGTTCTGTTCATTAACCTGTCCTTAATCTCAATCACTTTTTGAACGAACACGTCCATACAATCCTCACCTCTGTATAAGAACGGGTCGGATGACCTGTCAATTGCATTCACTACAGAAATCATAAAACCGCAGGGTCGGTGATGTTGGTATTCGTCAGTCTTGAGTTCTTTAGCGCTGACTGTTCCCGTCTTGGTGGTCAAGCATTCAAAGTCAGCATAGATGACGAGCGGCGCTTTTAACTTTTTGTAGTGATTTTTGAAAACCATTGTTTCGCTTTCATCAGGCATTTCAACCGTTTGTCCTTCAACAGCCATACAACCTTTTTCATTATGGTCTTTCAAAAGGTCTTCCGATTGAAAGCCGTGTCCGCAGTGAAAGCAATGATGTTTCTGCGCTTTCTTTTTGTTAGTTTGAGTTCCTATCAACCTGTCGTAGTTCTTTATGAAAACATAGTGGGATTTGTTCCCTTCCTCCAGTTTGAGTAGGTTTATTTGGTGAGTTGCTTTTGACACCTTGATTCTTCTGTATAGTAAGATTGACTGTTTGCCTTCATCCTCATCAAAGAAGAAGACATTGACGGCTATGTTGCCATTTTTGTTTTCTTCAGAGGTGTCTATGTGAATGTTTGACGTTGGAAAATTCACATTGTCCCAGTTCAGCATATCTTCAATCTTTCTGTAGTGATACAGTCTGTTCGGGCGGTCTTTTTCAAACACCTTATGGACACCGCACTGAACGGAATACTTGAAACACATATCGTCTTGGTTTTCAATGTTGATACAGGCTTTTGTGGTCTGAACCCATTTAGGAAGTTCAATGAATGAACCTCCACGTGTAGGATTATATTTGTCGTGACTGAACTTGATTTTATCAAACTGCTTT